CTGCGACATGGGGAGGGAAGGGGGTAGGAACCTATGGCTCAAAGTGAGCATTGCAGGGGTGAATGGTTTGGAGGGGGGATGTGAGGGGGATGAATGGGTTGGAAGGGCAGAGCAAGGCTTACTAGGGGGGCAGATGTGGGGGCACCCAGGGCTGTGGCACCAGTAGGTAGGAATCTGTGAGTCAGAGCTGGTGTTGCAGGGTGCAATGGTTTGCAGAGGGGACGCTGGGTGGGGGGTCAGTGGGTCAGACGAACAGGGCAGGGGAGCACCTGGGTGATGGCACCAAGGGCGGGTAGGAACCTGTAGGTCAAAGCCAATGTCACAGGGGGGAATGGTTTGGAGGGGGGCACAGGACAGCACCATGTGCTCGGGGGTCTCGACACTCCATGGAGCTGCCCCGTGGCCCCTTTCCAAGCTGTTCCCCCCTGCAACACAGGCAGTTCCTACCCCCTGGGAGGTGGGACAGCCCAGGGAATGGGGTGGGGGGGTTGTGGGGTGCTGGGGGTACCTGGTGGGGCGGGTGGTGCGGTGGGGCAGGGCGAGGGGCACAGGTGGCCGCAGACGCAGGGTCTCGTTCAGGGTGGCGCTGAGCAGGGGCAGACGGTCACGGTCACGGGGGCTCAGGGGGGCCGTGGGGCCAAGCACGTCCTGCAGCTCTGCATGGATCCTGTCCTGCACCTGCGGGGTGGGGGGCATGGGTGAGACCCCCCTGTGGCCCCCTGGGTCCTTATGGATCCTAAGGCCCCCACAGCTGCAGCCCTGGCCCCCTGAGGTCTCCACAACCCTACCTAGACCACTGTACATCCCTCCAGCCCCCTATGACCAGGCCCCTTGGGAACCACCCAACCCTTCCATGGCCCGTTGGGGGCCGCCACCCAGCCCCCTAGGTTCCCCTGAGCTCCTCTACAGCTCCCGCCACAGCCCCACACATCAGCCACAGCCTCCCCCACAACCCCACCCACCTCGGGGTGACGGACCAGGAAGGCGCAGGCCCAGGCCAGCAGCGCAGCCGTGGTCTCAGTGCCACCGATGAAGAGGTCAACAAGAGCCATGTGCAGCCGCTCGGGGCCCAGGTCCCCCATCGCCAGCAGCAGATGGTCCACCACGTCCCGCGGCCTCTCTGGCTCCAGAGATTCCTTGGGGTGGCAGAAAGGGAGCCTGGGACACCCCAGCGACCTCCCCCCAACATTGTTTGGAGACCTCTCCAGGCCTCACCCCCACAAGAACCCCTCTGCCCTCAAGGACCCGACCCTGCTGCCAGGGACTGCCCCCTTGGGAGCCTCCTATCCCTGGAGACCACCCAGGTACGCCTCTCTACCTGCGGGGATACTCCAGGGACCCCACCACCACCGACAGTTCCCCCCTAGGGATGCTGTGACCCCCCCCACATAGACCCTCTCCCTGCCCCAGGGACCCCCCAAGGAATTTCCCCTACCCAAGAGACCCCCCTCACACTCCAGGGACCCCACAAGGGATTCTGCCCTCCCCCCAGGGACCCTACTGCCCCCATCAGAACCCCCCCCACTATATGGACCCCCCCTTCACCCCTGGGCACCCCCCTCCACACCAGGGAACCCCTCTGTACTGCCTCAGAGCCCACTGCCTGGACTCCAGACCGCCCCCCCATGAGACCCTCTCACCCCAGGGAAAGGCCCTACCTGGTGCCGCTGGATCTGGGCCCGCACAAAGGCATCACGCTTCTCCACCACCTGCAGCAGTCGCTGCAGGGATGGGTTGGGCAGAATCTAGGGGGGGACCCCAAAACTGAGACTCAACCCCATGCTGGACCCTCCCCAAGCCCCGCAGTGCCCCCTAGTGTCCCACATCACCCTACGGGGCTGCAGTAGCCTTGCCTGCCATGTTGCAAACAAGTGCCCACTGGAGGGGAGAAAGCGCTGCCCACAGCACAGCACTCCCTAGTGACCCCCTGCTGGACCCCCCCTCACCCGCAGCAGAGGCACAGTGTCCAGCGCCTGGATGGAGATGCAGCTCCACAGCTGCACCAGCTCCGTGATGCAGGCTGTGAAGTCCCGGATCTCAGCCTCCGATGGCATCTGTGAGGGGAGAGGATGCCTGGGTTCATGCCTTGCCTTCCCCATAGTCCTCTGGAGTGAACTAGGGGCCCTGGACACCTGGGTTGGATCTCTAGAGTTCCCTGGGGTAAGCTGGGATCCCCGAAAAACCTAGGTTCACTCCCCACCCTCCTAGAAGTCCCCTGGGGTGAGCTAGAGCCCCCGGATGCCTGAGTCCCCGAACCCTCTCCTGCCCTACCAGCTCTCACCATAGGCCCGAAGATGAGGTCACAAATGACGTGGGCAGTGTGCAGGGTGAAGTGAGAGGTCAAGTCCACAGCCGCCCCCTCATAGCTACGGAAAATCTGGGGGGGTGCAGAGCAGGTTGGAGGAGCTGTGGGGGGATCCCCCAGGGCCTCGACTGCAGAAGGGAACCCCCCTATAAGCAGGGCTGCCCCAGAGGGGGAGTCTGGGGGTCAGGGGACCTAAGAGGATGAGGCCTGAGTCAGCCCCGGAGGGATCTCAGGCCTGGAGGGTCCAGGATGGGTGGCACTGCGGGTTGGGGGAATCTCAGGGCTGGGGCTGGAGGTGGCCAAGGGGGCTTGGCTGGGGGGGCTCCAGGGGTGTCCCAGGGCTGGGAGAATTTTTAAGAGGGCTCTGGGAGTGGGGCTGGGGCTCTTGGGGTGATGATGGGGATTGGGCAACCTGTGGGGGCTGCCCAGGGTGATTCCAGGAGGTGGGGGTTAGGAGGAGTCCCAGGGGGCTGTGAGCCTAGCTGGGGGGCAGAGCTGGGGGTTGGCTCTGGAGGAGGGTCTCAGGGCTGGGGCTGCAGGGCTCCTGGGGGGGTCTTGGCTGGGGGT